AATCAGTAAAAATAAGAAGATAACTCCGCGAAAATCAACCATCTCGTACCTATTGGCAAGCATCATGTTGGAAGTAACGACGAACTTGACGCCTGCGATGTTCTCAATAGCAAGGTTGATGAAAAACCCTACGCAGGCGGAGAAGATGCCGATTAGGAAGCAGAGTGCCCATTTGAGGAACAATTTCCGAAATATCTCAACTCGGCCATTACGCGCACGCCGATCCTGGTTCACCAGCACGCTCTCCGCGATCCTGCGCCGCACATTCGTTACTCAATTCATTGATCGGGAAAATAATAAAAATACAGGGGCAGGGAGGAGGAGGACATAGAAGGAGTACTCAAAGTCGAGGCTTTCGATAGGGCAGACACGTGAGCCGACGAGAGCGAGCTGTGAGGTTGATTTGTGCTCGACGAGGAGGGGCTCTGTTTCGTCGGCGGCGGCCTTGATCGCCATTGGAGAGGAGAAAAGGGCAGAAACGACGACACGCGAATCTTCTGGCTGGGCTACATAGTTGCGAGGGAGGAAGGTGGTACGGTACTGAGCGAAGTGGAGAAGTTGGGAGGAAGAAGGCTTCAAAGGTGTTGTCTTTGTCGTGTACCGGGAGCCGAGGGGAAACGGAAGCAACTGCCGGGACGGTTTTTTTAATGAAGGAAATGAAACGAGTTAGGTTGAGAAGGAATATGATTGCATCAATTGTCGTGCTGCTACTTCCTAAAAATCGGGCATTATAAAAACGGTTTTAAAAATAAAAAACAGATTTTTATGACGTCGAATAAAAAGTCAGTTGACTTAATATTTATTTATATTGATTTAGGATCAATTTTGATATTTAGTAAACCCAATAGATTAAAAATATAAATAAATGAGATTAATTTTTTGTTGTAGAAAATACATGGTGGTAAAAGAACAATTTTTATGTGTTAGTATTGTACAATGATTTAACATATATATAGATAAAGTGTTGAAAGAAATAAGTCAAAAAAAATTTACATAAAAAGTTTTGAAAGAAAGAAAAATCATGGGGTCTTCATCCACTATTGTTGAGTGCTTGTAATTTGTGGCGATGGAGTAATATAGTCATAAGAAGAATAACCATGATAATTGTGGTTCAACAATCATCGTGCTCAGGAACCATGGGGAGCGTAGAACACCTTTAGTCTCCTCTTCTATGTCCAGTATAGGATTATGATACTAAAATATTATAAATATAAATATCAAATTTTAGGTGTTTGTGTTG